CACAGACTATGACTTGGAACCGTGGGAGCATGTGACCTGTTTTAAGAATGTCATTTTGGCATATGAGGGCGACAGGTCTGGTCTCAGAGGTTATCTGGCATTAGGGACAACATACTGGTGAGTGACAAGAAGGTGTCTTATTGTATGACAAAGGATAGTGCAATGTATTTGGTTCTCGATTCTTTTGTGTTTGTATTTTTGATGTGTAGAATATTTTCATATTTGGGTAAATTAGGTTTTGGTTAGTTAATATTGGAATTTGCTCATACAGAAAATTATATATCATGTGTAATGTTCATTTATGTTTTTTTTTTTTTTTTTTTATCGGGAACTGTTTCATAGACTAATGTCAGAGAAATGGGTTAACTTTGGATAAAGAGAACATTATATTATTTCTTATATACCATTTCTCAGATTCCATCATTACATGATTCTGATAATTTGATGAAGTTAATGGCATGTTACAATAATTTCCATTCAGATTTATTTGTTAAAGAATAATTAACTAAACAGAATGGACATTTAATATTATGACAAAAGTATTGTTCTTTTATATTGACTGTGTCTATATTGTCTTGTTTATTTTGTGACTCATAACAAACCCACAGTGACCTTATATGGCCTTTTAAGAGTGACTTCAGTGGTGAGATAATGTTCAGTCTAACGTACTTTGTTCTTTGGAGACTACTCAATACTCATTGCATTTCTTTTGTGTAAAATTTGTTTGATGGTGTTATATATTTGTAAATGAAACATTAATAGCTTCTTTTAAATCTCACCGTCATAGATTCTTTCCACTTGATGTAATTTTCATATCTAAATGAGGGTATTGTATATATTCTTCTTATTTCAGTTTTGGAGAAGACATCACTTGCAGAGGGCGCATTCTTATTTTCGATGTCATTGACGTGGTGCCGGAACCTGGCCAGCCCTTGACAAAGAACAGACTCAAGATGCTTTATGAGGGGGAACAGAAGGGCCCAGTCACAGCTTTGTCTCATTGCAGGGGTCTTCTTGTTTCTGCTATTGGCCAAAAGGTAAATCAAAGCATGACATACATTTAGTAGTATAATTTTGGTGAATTATTGGGAATAATAATAATGATAAGTATTGGTTTCCTAGAGCAACAGTTAGAGTAAAAGTTAAGGTACATAATGAATATAAAAGATTGAATTAAAATCTTGAAGTTCCCTTAGTATATTTTTCAACAAGAAATAGGACATTTTCCAAAATCTAATGTGGGATTTATCATATACTGATAATGTTATTTGGACATCTCATCGTACAGGTATACATCTGGCAGCTAAAGAACACGGACTTAGTTGGCATGGCCTTCATCGACACACAAGTCTACATCCACCAGCTCACATGCATCAAGAGTCTCATCTTAGCTGCAGACATATGTAAATCTGTCTTTCTGCTCCGGTTCCAGGAGGAAAATAGGACACTGTCTCTAGTTGCAAGGGTGAGAATAAATGGTGTATTGTGGTACTATTATTTTTGCTTTCGATTTTACTGATTGAGTTTTTGATACTGAAGGTTGTTATGATTATCACACGTGGCTAAACTGTCACTCATGAGAGGGCAATGTCCAATCATATCATGGTCTGTTGAGCCAGGGATGTCATTTGGGGGGCTTGGGGGCATTGCCTCCCCAAGACTCTGATTGCCCCCATCAGTGTCTGAAATCAGACTCTGATTGATATTCCCTGAGCAGTTGTTTGCATGCTTGGCCCTGTCTGCAGTCATTGAGGAGAAACAGCCCTTTAGATGTAGGCATAAAACTCTTCTTATCCTCATCACCTATAAAATTATTAATACCACAGATAAGAGAGTAGACTTTTTGGTGTCTCACTTGAGCGATTAACTGTAAGTGCCACCTGGCTTCTGGCTTGGAATGGTACCAGGAGATCCTATTGTGAGTGGGTTGGATTCTATATTTTAGATTTCTTTAAACTTAAAAATTAATTAATTTGTTTTTTCATTTTATTTCATACAGGACCACAGGCCACTCCAAGTTTATGGCATCCAGTATCTGGTTGATAATACAACGCTGGCTTTCATTGCGAGTGACGTGGACAAGAATCTTGTGGTGTACACATACAACCCAGAGTCACATGAGAGCATGGGAGGGACTCGCCTTATCAGAAAGGGAGATTTTCATCTAGGTTCACATGTTAATTCTTTCTTTAGGTAAGTTCCAGCTTGTTTTGTTTCTTAGTTTATTATGTGAAATGTTACTGCTATTTATATGTAGTCTGATGGTTCATTTCTGGTAAAGTAAAGAGTCAAGGAAATATGTTGTTGTTGTTGTTTTTTTTGGTAAAATTTCTTGGACAATTATTGATAGTATCAAATACCATACCCTGGAAAAGCCATACATAATCT